TCGTCTGATTCATCGATCAGACGACGAGGTTGAGGCAGAGGAGAAGAGGTGGTGTGATCGGAAGGACGAAAAACGTTAAGGGGGACAGGATCGTAAATTTCCTCCACTGAGCGAGAAGGAGAGTGAGGAATAGGTTGTCGAGTGGGGGGCGTCGACGCGGCGGTAAAATCTTCGCCGGAGCGGTGGCTTTGTATATTAGAAGCGGCGGAATCTGAAAAGTAGAAGAAAGAAAAATCAAGAGGAAAATGAGAGAAGTTAGGGTTTTGGAAGGCAAAAAAGGGTGTTTCTTCACAGGCGAAATGAGGAGGTTTTGAAAAAGAAGAATCAACGGAAAAAACCAAAAATTGACAAAATAAATGCAAGCAAATGAAAAATTAAAGTGTAGAAGACATACTCATGGTCGCAGTAGAGAGGGGTCGCCGAAAAAAGCTTGAAGCCATGGAGCAAAAATGTCGAGAGCAGGAAAGCACAGTTTGCAAAGGAAGAAATTAGGGCACAAGTATGTAGAGATTTGCAAAGGTGAGAAAAGCCGAAAAAATTTACTAAGTGCTGTATTCATAGGAGTACAGGGGAATAAGGTGAAGAGTTAGTGGAAATAGCCGTTGAATAAAAGAGAGATTTAACGGTTGGGAGCATTTATAGGGCACAGATAACGAAGCGGCGCAAATCACGAGAAGACGTGATGATTAAAAGTACTGAACAGAATGGACGCGTGGAAGATGGAAACAGCATTAAGAATAAAGGAGACAAAGGGCGGCTATGAATGCACTACAAAATTGGCCAAATGATCGAGAGAGGAGATCAAATCCCGTCAGAGGGTAAAAAAGTCAATAGATCGAAGGGGCAGACACAAGCTCACTCTTAAATCGAGTCATTCAGACTCGACCAGAGTGGGGGGGGACAGATGATATGGGATATTATATGCCTAAAGAATAAACTGGTTTACCATGTTGATCGTGCGAGCTTGACGCTAGGAAAACCGCATTGGTCGAGCAATAATCGGCCAAAAGGGAAGTGATCGAGCAAGATAGGAAGTAATCGGCCTCTGATACACACACACTATGTGTGTACGGACGGGCAGTGCTGGGAGGACAGCTCATCAGATCCGGGCAGGTATCTTACTCCTATATATATAGGAGTGAGTCTTTTCTTGTGACTTACGATTTTTATCCATACTTTACTTTGGAGAATTGAGAAAAACACATACTTACTTAAGCATCAGAGGCTCTTCACCGGAAAAACCCCCGGTGTGAGAGTTCTTTGCAGGTACGCGGCGTTCTACCGGCGAGGAGGAGGAGGATGAGCCGATTTCAAGCCTGTCGGAGTGTTTTGCGTTACCAAGTACAAATTTTATATATTTTGATTCGATTAACTGTTTGGTACCTTTAAAATTTTGAATATTTCGGTTTGATGTCAGATGTATTTATTAAAATAACCAAATCGATCGAGATATATAAGAATATGTTAAATGATTTTTTAAAGTGCTTATGTAGACACACTATTGTGCAATTTATTTATCAGTATTGTGCAATTACTAAAATTTTAATAGTTTCATATAAAACGATAATAGTATCATAATGTGCATATGTAAAACCCATAATGTGCAAATTACTCCTTTTAATATGATGCATTTATTAAAGTTTAATAAATTACAAATTGAACCCATGTACTCAATTGAATAATAGTTAACTTTTGTAATTTGCATATAAGTCCTCAAGCATTATCAAATTCTTAAAAGGAAGCCCATGAGCCATTGAAACACACACAAATCCGGCAGTCGGTTCCTGCCACCATCTCCGCCGCACAGTGACTGCTATCGCGACCGGAGCATCCCCGCACCACGGTCGCCGCCGGAGCCTTCCGCTGCACCTCCGTCGCAGAACTTTGAACCCATAGCAGACGCATCTGCGCTCCCGCTCCTCTGCCGTTCTCCGGCCACTGTCGTCGCCGTATATTCCCTCCATCGACAACCACTGTCCCCTAAGGTCTCTCCGGCCAACGCCACTATCTTGATGAGATTTGCCACCGTCGTCGCCGTAGATGCATCGAGCACCTTGACGAGATCCGACACCTCAGCCGTTGTCGCGGCTCATTAAGTCGTACAGGTTACCGCCGGGCGTCGAGGACCACCCAGCGCCGGCAATGACGACCACACAGGCCACGTATATTGCCGGAAGTACAGAGTTTTCCACGCCGACGACAGCAGTTGGTGTCAGCGGCGACGTGACAAGCGATTGACGTCTGGCGGCGGCGCGGTTGACATCCGGCGGCTGCTCCCCGTTGAGCTTGTGTAACAGACGTATGGTGTTTTGTGTGTGTAGATATGTTTTGTGTGTGCTTGTGTGTGTGAGAGAGAGAGAGAGAGAGGGATAGGTTGGTAGTGGTAGGGTCCACTGTATGGGAATGAGTTGTAATATTTTGTGTGGGTTTATTGCATCAAATCCCTCTGTATTATATGAAATCTGCGTGTTTTCCCCTGGTATTTCAAAAATTGCGTTAAATACCCATGTATTTAATGTCTCAATGCACACTCGCCATTTTAAGTTAACGCCTTTACTTTAATGCTGACGGTGTTACTTTTTCGCCAAAATTGCCATTATACCCTTACTTTATCCTTGAATATACCATTATACCATTTCTGTCATATATGGTGATTTAAAAATAAAATCCCAAAGGTGGGGATTGAACCCACTACCTTTGGGTTATAAAAAGTGACTCTTACCGACTGGGCTACTTAGCATTTAGTTACAAATGTGACCTTGGTTATTTATATCATAACATATAACGGAAGTAATATAATAATTAAGAATATAGATTCTAAATTATAAATAATATAATTATTAAATATAAGATTCTTAACTAAATAATATAATAATTAAGTATATAGATTCTAAATTATAAATAATATAATAATTAAATATTTAGATTATAAATAATATTATAATTAAATATGTTTTAGTTATAAATAATATAATAATTAAGTAAATATATTTTAAATTACAAATAATATAATAACTAAATAACGAGATTATAACTTATAAATAATATAATAATTATATAGATTCTGTATATAAATAATATAATGATTAAATAAACATACTCTAAATTATAAATAATATAGTGAATGAATAAATAGATTCTTTATTATAAATGATATAATGATTCAGTAAATATATTCTAAATTATAAATGATATAATAGTTAAAAAAATAATTTATAAATTATAAATTATAAATAATATAATTTAGTAAATAGGTTTTATAATAATTTAATAAATATATTCTTATTCATAAATAATATAATAATTGAATAAATTTTATTCTCAAGTATAATGATAATTATAAATTGTAAATAATATAATAATTAAGTATATATATTCTTAATTATGAATAATAAAATGATTATTTTAAATTTTAAGTAATATAATAATTCGGCATATATAATTTATAATAATTGAGTAAATAGATTCTAAATTATATATAATATAATAATAAAATAATTTAGACTCTAAATTATAAATCATATAATAATTAAGTAAATATATTTTAAATTATAAATAATATAATGATCAAGTAAATAGATCCTATATTATAAATGATATGATAATTAAGTAATATATATTCAAAATTATAAATAATACAATATCTAAAAAAGAGATTCTAAATTATAAATAAGAATAAAAGTTTTATTCAAGTTTATATTTATTCAGATTTAGAAAAAAAAATATAACCAAAACTTATTTATATTATTTATATCTCATAACAAAGGATATTATATATTTTAATTAATATGTTTTTGAATTATAAATAACATTTTTTTTATTTTTTTACATTACTAGAATTTAAAATAAATAAACTGATAAATAATAAGTATTTAAATTATTTTTTACAAACTAAAAAATGGAATTTTATTTATATAATAAAGTTTATATATTTTTTAAATATGTAAGAAAATATAAAAACTAAATAAGTGAAATAAAAACAAATCATATATATAGCTATTGAATACAAAATACTTTATTTAAAAATTACTACTTTAGTAATATATTATATATAGAAGTATCATTTCATTTTATAATAAATAAATTTAATTTAATTTATTTTATTATTTTGTTATTTTATTTTATTTATCTATACTTTATTACTTCAATTAATAAAAAATGTATATTTATATTTTTTGTTTTATTCAAATGAAATTATCATTTATTTTTAGATTAAATAGTAATATATGCATTTATTATTTTCAAATTTCACATTCAATTTAATTATTTTATTATTATATTTCAATTAAATTTTATTATAATGATTTAGTTTGTGATTATATTATTTTTTATGTTTGTTTGATTATGTTTTCTTCTTGCTACTGATGCTTTAAATAAATCTGTGTTATTTTTATACAATACAATAATGGTGTAGAGTGGTTTGAGGTCTTGCTTAGTGAGGTTTTGGCCCAAGTTCGAATTCTATGAGGAGCACGCAAGCATTAATTTTTGCCCAACAAGCAAGGAGCAAAATAATAAATTTCAATTTTAAAATAAAAAATACATAAAAAAATTGAATAATTGTCGCATTACATGAATGTGTACTGTACGCGTTGTGAAGTTGGACGGAGAGGGGGGAATCGTGCAAAAGTTAGTTAATACGAGAGAGTCTGACGCAATTTTTGAAATATCAGGGGAAAACGCGCAGATTTCATATAATACAGGGGAATTTGGTGCAATAAACCCTATTTTGTGTATTGTCCGTTTTACCCCTATTAAGTGGGCAAATGTGTACATTTGACCAAAATGTTTATGTTAAATTATCATGTTGTCATTAATGATTGATCAGATGTTGGCCCAATCATAACCATTGGTTTGATGTATTTAATGGTACATGATCATTCTTATTTCTTTCACTATCTATCATTTTCATGTGATCCCAACTCTTATATATATATATATATATATATATATATATATATATATATATATATATATATATAAGAAAAGGAAATGAGAACCTGAGCCACTTCCAAAATTCAAACAATAGACTCATACATTGGAAACAAATTTGAGCATCTCAATTAATCAACAACTGAACGAATATGGGCTCGTAGCCAAAATAAATCGATGTATCAATGAAGTGTGTATACACAAAAGTATCTAAAGATAGGAAAGGAGAAAAACCAAATTCAAGTGAACATCTTTCTTTGTCGAGCCATTAAGATGTTAAGTCCACCAAAAACCTGATAATACCACATTGTCAGATAAAATGATTCCATATAGAGCAGCTGTATTGGCAACAAAGCAAAAGAAAAGGTGAAAAATAAAATAAAGAAAGAAATGAAAGTAATTAAATCTATTTTAGAGGAAGAGCGACAAAAGTCTTCTTTACTACACTTTACGACATAATTTCTTGAGCATCTAAATTTTTGTGGGTCTAAATCAATTTTAGAGAAAGAGTGACAAAAGTGATGTATGCATCCAATTTACGGTTCAAAGGAAGAATATATCGATTTTTATGGAAAAAAAAGGCCAATGGAAAAATGAACTGGGGAGGTATTGAAGGAAGGGACCAACAAATTAAAATGTAAACGTAATATAAAGTATGTTTTTACCTCAGGACAAGATGACAAGTCCAAGATATATAGCTCCACATAAAAACATGAAGGATATCATTCCCCTGCAAAAATATTTTAGTTTCCTCACCGAACTCTCGACATCACAAAAGTTTAATAATTCAACTCACAATGGTGTTACTAAATATATCATATCAAGTATTAACCAAACAAGTTCCCATAGATTAGCCATTAACAATTTCAAATAATCCAATTCAACGGCGCTAATACTCTTCCATATTGAGGAATGAATTAATTGCCAGATATATTTACGANAAAAAAAAAAAAAAAAATCTAACTTATATGATCACAAGTATAGAATTTGTTAGTGATCTGTGTACACTACAAGAATTCAAGAGAGGGACCAAAAAACCTTCCTGCCAAGCAAAGTGAACATGGAAAGTATATTTCCCCATTTTAATAAATTATTAGTTAGGAAATCACAAATACTGACGAATATCAGAACTGATTTCTTTAAAATGACTTTTTTTTTTTTTCAGTTTTGATTTTCCCCAACCTTCAATTCACAAACTGTTTGAAGAAAACACAGATAGGCATANATAAGCAATGGGAAAATTTATAATGTAAGGGGATTGAATGATGGAAAAGTAAAATATATGACAAAAGTAAACCCATACCAATAAAGAGAATAATGTAGCGAAGAATACGAACTGTAGTCAGTTCTTGCAGCAGCCAAATAACACCGATAAAAACGATAAATCCTGGCAGCACACAAAAGATGAAGTAATTATAATGGATTTGCAAAGTAGTTTTCACCAATAAAATAACTTACCAATGCAAAGCCCACGAAGTGTCCACTGTGCAAAATCAAACAAAACAGCGTAATAAGTAAAATCTCCGGAAATAGAGATATTAAAAGAAAGGAACTTATCATAGTTACATATGAAAACCTCCTTCAAGATTCTTACATTTTTGGCTATGAAGAGGACAATAAGAAGGGAAAGAATAAGACCACCGGCAGCAATCCTTGCAGTGAGTAGATTTGTTGATGCAAGTATGAGAGCCATTCCCCAAAATGATGAACCGAGATCTACAGCCAGAAAGAGATCATAATAAAAAACTAAATGATGAAATAATATGTAATTTTTTAGATAGCATTTCTCACACAAAGGAAAGAAAAAATTAGCTGCAAATGAATGAAGGAAAAAAAAAAGAGCAATAAAATTGCCAGAAAAAATAAGTAAATAATAGGAACCTTAATGGTATTATAGTCTTACATCCAGCTGGCAAGATCAACCAATAGATTCCGCCACGTGTTTGAGTGACCCCACCTTCATTTGCATGAACTTGAATACCCTCTACCTGCATTTAAAATGCACATGAGATATCTGTGAGTGTAAAACAAATATGCAGAGAAAAGGAGTAAGTATATGTCTGTTAATGTTATATGTACGTACCCCGTTCGATTTTGAAAATCTAAAATTACAGACAAAGACCACATCACATACAGACAAAGAAAAAAACAATGTTAAAAATGATCGCCGGAACTAGAAAATTTGTTTTGATTTCAAATACAATGACAAATTTGAGTCTATATATGCAAAGCTTAATTGCGGACAAATCTGTACTAATCTAAATCAATCGAGATATTCTCATCATTCTTGCTAAAATTTATGATATTCAAATAAGAGCTACTGGCAATAAAACACTGATTCTTTATCATTAGGAAAGACTTTTGGAGATAGTGACAATAAGATGCAATGTTTTTCCATGTACTAAACAACTAATTTATCATTGTTATATCTTGTCATACATTTATATGGATCAAAACTCAGTTCTTTAGGAACAAGAAAAGAATATAGAAGTCCTAATTTTCACTGATTGTATTTACAATAGATTTGTTTTTCACTCTCATCTTCTACAACCACTTCATTTGCCTCATGAATATACAAATCAAATTTCAACAATCCTAATAATTTAAGTGCAATATATATGCCTGAGGAAATCATCAAGAGGGAAATGGTTGCATACATCACAAGTATACTTGAAAAATGCAGCTAATAAAGGAAAACTTCAAGTCCACCAATGAGATAAATATCACAAAAAATCTTTATCTACCTCACCACATGTAAGCTTACAAGCAATTGCATGGCTTGCCTCATGAAGAAATACTGTAATGAGTTTGAAGGGTGTCAGTAAAAACGTCCTCCATAGCTGTCATTACAAACACAGGGGCCAATGACAAAATAATNGGATCAATGCGTAAATCTCATTCGAATAATGCAGGAAAATGGGAAAATCAAAACTACACAAAGCCAAATATGTTTTGATAAGCTGATTACATTCTGCTAAAGCTTTATCCAACTGAAAACCAAAAACAATTGTGCAATCATATGTTTTTCTTAAAAATCCCGGAGATAGTTTTTGAAACATTTGCTTAATAATAATTTCAACCAGCTGAAAAAGATATCTAAACTCAAGACAACTTGATTAGTAACTTGAGACTGGCTTGATTTTTCTTAGAGAGTCATTCAAGAGAAATTAACATTTAAATGAGTCAATTTCAACCCAAGATTCAGTATGTTAATGTATTCTTAATGCATTTACTTTTTTTACATTTTACTAATAGATAAGCTCGACTGGAACACAATTAGTTAATCATTTAGAGTAATTCTTAGAAGGCCGAATGCTGATATTCACAAGATTTTTCCAAAAGTGATCTCGATATGGTTATGTTCGTCAATCTAATTTCATTTCTCCATTTAATGGACCATGAAAAGTAGTATACACAAAAAGAAGTTTCGTTCAAAAAAAAAAAAACATACACTAACACACATTTGACATAATTGAACACATACTCATGGAGTTACATGGATATTTTATCCCAATATCTATGTCCTCCCATTAGATGCATCAATAAATCATGAGGGATTGTTTTATAGGATGGCCTAACTTCACCATATTAATGCATTGTCATAAGGACACGATGATCCACAGAGCTATTAATTCCTGCACTAGATTTTGATTTGCACACAATCTATTTTGGGAAAATTTCCCAAATGGTACCTAACTTGGCCTATTTACGCAAAAGATGTTTTATATTGGAATATCAATGCCATCATATTAGCATTAAACTTACGCAAAGACCAAGTAATAATAGGTTAGTATACCACATCATCAGTATATCAAATTGATGGACCATATATAAATTTTTCTAAAATTATTTACTAAAAAAAAGACAGAAAAGAAAAACGTAACAGTTATCAGTTAATGAATTTGAAGAATGATTTAAACAGGTACTGAATTCGCTCGGTAACTGCCATTGGTAATCAGTATGCAGTCAGCAGTTACTATATCAATAGATTTCTCCCAGGTAGAAGTTAATCAAACAAGGTAGTTTAGGGCTTCTTCAAGATTTATTTAACAAATGGTCTTGGAAAAGATCAGAAACAAACTAAAAGTACGGCCGAGAAAAAAAAAAGTATATCCTTATTCCAGATTTATTTACCAAATGGTCTTGGAAAAGATCAGGAAAAAAAAAAACTAAAAGTAAAGCCCAAAAGAAAATAAAGCAAACCGCAAAAAATGAAGCAACAACCTAAAAAGACTAAAAGATACGAACATCCTAAATTCAAGAATTCCAAGAATAGGATGGGCAGGAATTGTTAATCAAAAAGGGCTAATCATAACAAATATACAGCGAAAAGTAGTCAAGTGTACCAAGGGCTCTGACAGCAATCAAATGTGAGCAGAAGAAAGAGAGAGAGAGAGAGAAAAAACTTACAGCAAATGTGAGCAGAAGAAAGAAAAAGAGAAGAACTTACAGCAAGAATTACAAGAGTGAAGACACCAATAGTTGCAAGAAACACCACTTGTTCGCGCTGGCAACAATTCCTCAGTTCCCAATTCGGATTCATTGTCCGAATAAGAGAAAAGGAAGAATTTCTAAAGGAGAACAGTTGAAGATCTTGATTATTGAAAAAGTACAAATTCCGGAAAAGGGGAGGGAAGGAAAATAAGAGACCGATAAGAGAAGGAGACGGAAAAGAAAATTTGTTGGTTTAAAAATCTTGTGTGTGTGTGTGTTTTGCTACTCAATGTTTGAATATGTCCATGTTACGCGGAGCTCCTGTCCTAACTGGAAAAATGGGAACATGCGATTGGTAATTGATTGCTGCTATACGCCGTTCCCAAACACACCTTTGTCGTTTTAATGCCCATACTAGGGGTATTCACGGTCCGGTTTTAATCGATAAAAAACCGTCAATCCGGACCACGGATCGGTTAAATGGTTAATTAAAAAAGCCTTAAAAAAATCGATGGTTAATATTTTTAAAAATCCGGAATAACCGATCCGGTTAACGGATTACCTTCGACAAACCGCCACTTTAACCGGACCGGACCGGTAAATATTAAAAAACTATAACAAATATGTATATATATATATATATATTCAGTCATTCACTATGGCCGACAAATACAATACATTCACTATGAATGTTTTGCTCTTATTATTTCAGGTGTATAAACTGACTGAAAAATGAATGTTTGCTTGGGTCCAGTTTGCATAATTTAATCTTCATCATTTTTGTATTCTTATGTGTTATGAGACGAAATGTGTATTTTTATGCTTATGGGACAAATTGTGTATTTTTTATTTCATTATTGTTGTTTTTATTAATTTTTAGGCCCAAATAATCTCTTTGGGCCCAAAATTGAAAAATAAAAATTAAGCCCACAATTAAAAAAATAAAAATTGAATGCTCAAAACAAGGATTTTGGATTTAACCGGTTAACCGCCAAACCAGACCGTCCAATGCGGTCCAGATTGTGGTCGGTTAAAAAATAAAATCGGTCCGGGTATGGACAAGAAAAAAAATTAATCGTTAGTTCCGGTTTGGACATGGTTTGGGCTAAAACCGAACCAATCCGGACCGTGAACACCCCTAGCACAGACTTTTGCTAAAATAAAATTGAGAAAATGATCCCACATGAGTATACTGATATTTTTCAATTTTTTTTTAAACGGTATAATTCATTCACTAAACACATAATTATAATCGGCTCACTAGCCGGAATAAGAGGACTACCCAAGGTAGCCTAGATATCACAACGCACACTACAATACGATCAAGAAAAATAAAAGCTCCTCACAGGAGAATACACAAACTCCCCACAAGAGAATAACATGAACTCCCTATAGGAGAAAAAATACGCTCCTCCAAAAAAGGAGAAATAAAAAACACAAACCACAGACCAACAACAACAACAAGAACACAAAACCAACAAACCTAAACAAAACTAAAAAACAGAACAACTAAAGCCTTTCACAACCGCTAAAGACAACCAAGCCACGCGTACGACCGGACTCGATATGAGAAAAAGAAACCCGACTCAAACCAGATCTAGAAACTGCAATCTACGAACGAGGCCTAACTAAACCCGGGCGAGCCAGACCTCTTCTACCGGAACCACCACAAACTTCACCGCGAATTCCGGTCGGAGAGCCCCCCAAACACCAAACCGCCGGGAGCAGTCGAAAACCTCCCACCGGCATCCCAACGCCCCCGCCGTCGGGCCACCCACCCCAGCGCCAGGAGGCGGGATGGACCAGGGAAACTACACCGCCACGAAACTCAACCGTCGTCCGCCCATGGACAGGAAACGACGACGGCGACCACGAGCCGACCAACCTCGCCGGGACCCCGCTGAAACACCGCTAAGGCAAAACGCCTCGTCGATTTGTTGGGGCCGTCGGGGAAGGAGATACTCTGATCCCGCAGTGAGGTCATCGTCGCATAGACCGGCACCTGCGGAAGTGAGGCGGCGGCAATGGACGGGCGGAGTTTTAGGGTTTTACGGAAAGGGGGATTTTTAGAGAGAGGTTTTTTCTTTAACTTTCAATTATATGTATATTTTTCAATATTTTAAAAGTCAAAGTATCAGCAGTGGATTGTGCCCTATCGTCTAGAGCACCTAAACGGAATTAGATGACGCCTTGGTGGGTCTTAAAAATATTAATAAACTTATTTATTTTTATCATTATGTAATGTGTATTTCTTCCATGAACCGCTCTTCTAGTGACCTCTAAACAATTTGACCTCCAGAGTATCCTACAAAACACATCGATAGTATTCTTGACGGTAAATCTCCAACGATCAAGGCAGTTCTCAGAATATGAAAGAGGTAAAGTGTGTAACCTCTTACCCTTATGATATTGGTAACGCCAAACACTCCGACCGGCTGGGAATCAGTTCGCCTTCTTCCTCCTCGCCGGTACAATGCCGCGTACCTGCAAATAACTCTCACACCGGAGGGATTTTTCGGTGAAGACCCTCCGATGCTTAAGTCAGTGTTCGTTCTACTCAAATCTTAAGAGTAAAAATGGATAAATCGTGCTTAACAAGAAAGAATAACCCATATATATAGGGGTGAGATACTTGCTCTAGGAGCTGCCTGGATTTGATGAGCTGTCTGCACAAAGCTGCCGGATCTGCCCGTCCGTACACACATAGTGTGCGTGTGTTAGAGGTGGTTATTGCCACTATCACTATGTACCAATATATTCCTACCACGTGTCCTCTGCAAATAGGATAATTATTCCTCTGAATATTCTTTGGAAATTCCCTTGGAGGCTCACACGCTCTCTCACGTTAAGGTCACCCGATTGCTCTTCACCTGCGAGGTGGCCGATCCGATGGTCTCTTGCTTGATAGGTCGATCTTTGACTAGATCACCCGTAGTATTCGACCACTTCCCTTTAGCCTAATACTGTTCGACCACCGTGGCTTTCCAGGCATTAGCTTCGCGTAGCCGGTGTGGTGGACCGGTTTATTCCTTTAGGTATATAATATCCCATATCATCTAGTCCCCCCACTGTGGTCGAGTCTAAATGACTCGATCTACGAGTGAATATGTATTCTCCTTATCGGTTTCTCCTTATCTAGACCACCTGGTAAGTTTTATCTCATTTCTTCGATCATTTCGCCCTTCACAGGAAAATTCAAGTCTACCACCTGTCGCGTCCTGTCAGATATTCTCATCATTGCGCCTTTTCCCATCGTTGTGCCTTCTCGCAACTTGTGCCCTTTTAAATCCTGTGCCTATTAAATGTTCCCAGCCATTGGATTTCGCTTTTAATCCAACGACTATCTTGATTAACTTTTCACATTACCTTCTTCATTTACATATAAATATCCACACTTACGATTTTTTGGACTTTTTCTGCAAATCAAGTTTTTTGCTTTCGGCGATTTTCCTTCAAACAGTCTTCAAGTTCTTCGGCGATTTCTCTCCACTACAACCATGAGTAAGTTCTCTACGTTTTGAATTTGTGTGTTTTTCTTTTGTTGATTCGGAATTTTGTTTATGCACTAGCCATAAAAATTTTTCCTTTAATTTATTTCTCCTTTACTTTTTCGATTCCGCTACCTCCAGTGAGAACGACCGCCACTCCAGCAAGGATATATCCTCTCCTTCTTCATCCCCGACTCCTCGACCAATACCCCACTCTCCTTCTAATTCTATTGAAGAGATATACCAGGCTGTTCCCCTCAATGTGCTTCGCCATGCCAATTACTCCACACCTTCTCCTCCACCTCAACCTTCTCATCTAATTGATGAATCAAATGAGGATATTCTTGACCGTGTTCCTCTCAGCCATCGCCGTCGACCTAACCTCGGTGCTTTCGACGCAGCTGAAGTAGCCATAGATGCTGCTGAGATAACTCGCGAGAAAGATGAGGATCATATTCCTCTATCTCATCATTCCGTCTTGTCTAATCCCCCAGCTTCGAGCAAATTCAAGACGACCGTGGCTTCTACACCCAAGTCTAAACCCAAATCCTCAACTATTCTTGATTCTTCTAAAACCAAATCAAACCTTGTTGCTACTTCTTCCAAACCCGTCCAGAATAAAAAATTGATCAAAACCTCATCTTCTAGGAGGGCATCTCCATCTCCTCTCGTAGCGGGGTGGCTAGAGGTCGATGATGTTAGCCATCCCCCTAGTTGAGCTTTTATATCCCCTGGTCTCAAGGACACTTATGACAATCCACCCAAGAACTCCTACACCTTTTTCGAGGTCCAATTCAAACTTGGCATCCGTTTCCCCCTTTGTCAAGAAGTGATCGATATTTGTGAGTGGTTCGGTCTTCCTTTGAACCAGCTCCCCCCAAATGTCATCCATTTCATAACGACCTTTGTTATTCTTTCTCATATCCGCCTAGGTCGATTCGACCTAGGTTTTTTCAATTACTTCTACACACCCTCGAAGCAAGCTCAAGGGCTCTATCTAAAGAGCCGCAATAATGCCTACTTCATCTCTGATATTCCTTTCAACTGTCCTAAATGGAAGCAAAGGTTTGTCTATGTCGAGCTCGATTCTGCCTTCCGCTGGGCACCTTCCCCCTGGCTGAAAGAACTTCTCTTTGAGCTTGAGAACCCCCCTCAAAATTTTCTCTTCGACCAACGTATTGTCGTGTTGAATTCCAAACCCGTCTCTTCCAAAACCCTCCTCGAAAATAAAAGCCTTCTGCACTTCTACGGTCTTCTTACTCACAAATCCCTATCTCCCCCTACCAAAGAAGTCCTCGACTCCATCCGAGCAGAGGATGATCCAGGTGTTTCTTCGACCTCCCTATTTGAATATTGCCCTATTTACCTTTGTGTGTAAGTTGTTTACTATGGTGCTGATTTGGTTTTATGATTTTTGCGCAGAGATGCCTACTGTGCCACTTCTTAAGAGGAGAGTCCCTCTCAAGAAGAAGTCCACTCAGGGATCAAGCTTGAGACCCTCTGACTCGACCACCTCACAACCCGACCAATCGGCCTCCTTCATGGAGGCCAATATCCGAGAAACGCCAATCTCAGAATCGATCATAGAATCGATTCTGGAGAAGCAACATGTTCCTTCCTCGACCATCTATCCAACCGAAGAGCGACCACCCTCGCCTCCTCCAGGAGATCAGCAACAAACATCCCCTCCTGCGGGCTCGACCATACCTGTGGTCGAAGAACAACAACCACTGTCTACCCCTCTCGACAGGGACGCCCGCCTCTCCTAATCCACACCTTGTTGCCGAGGAACGTCCTCTCATCGGAGAGAGTGAGGGGACAAATAAACGTCCGCGGCTCGAGGAAACGACTGACGTCACGCGCCCCTCTATCCTTTTCACTAACCAAGGTCAGCAGCACTGAAGTGTCGTCCTTTCTTAAGGATGTTCTTCCTGCCCACGACCTCCATGATGACGGTACCACTCTACATACCCAAAGGGACCGTATCGCCAAATGGCTAGCACAGGACTTTCATAACCTTAGAATCATCTTCCTTGAATTGTTTCTTTGGTTGCTTATGTACTAATTCTCTTCTTTATTCGTGAAACCGCTCCTTTGATCAACCAGGCCCTGTCTAGTGCTAGTCGATCTATCCCTTCGATCGAGAAGGGGGCTTGCCTCCTCCGAAAGAAGGTGAATGACATCACCCATCAGCGTCACGTGCTCCGTGAGACGCTAAAGGATGAGAAACTAAAGCTGAAGGCCCTCATGGCCGAAAGGAGACCTTCGAGGAAGAGAAGAAGTCTCTCGAGGATGCACTCGAGGCTGAGCGAGTAGAGAAAAGAGCTCTCGAGGCTATGCTCGAGGCAGAACGAACGGCTCGGGAGCGCGAGAAAGCTGCTTTCGAGCAGCAGAAGAAGAATTTGGTCGACCTCGCATACCACTGTCGGGCAGCATTTTCTCCAAGAGTACCGCGAACAAGTGGTGACTGACTTCACGCAGTCACGACAATATTTGAAGGAGGTGCAGGCGTACGACGTCCAATGTTTCCAATATATCCTACAGAAGGCAGGTGAGCAGATAGCCGAGGACGACTTCGAGGAGTTCAACGTGGAGGCTATTTGGGATGCTCTGCCCAAGGCTCCTGTTATAGCAAAATATATTTTTACCGAGTACTGAATTGAAAGATTCGTTCCCCGGGTAGATCTCTCGAGGAACGCGGTTCGGAATCTAGGAATAGTGTTGATAAGAAAATTAAATCCTAAACACTCTAATCAAGATAGTGGTTTTTAATTATCAACTGCGAAATAGAATTCAAACAATGCAAAATCGAACTTAAAGCAAAGATGAAGATCAAAGGATAAGAAGCTAGGGCATCGGGGATGATGATTTTCTAACCAATGCAAATATCAACCTAAAATCATTCGGTTGGATGGTTCAAACAACCTAACGTCTAAAGATTAATCCTCAATAACTCTTCATAACAAGAGGGTACATAGACAGTAAATCATGCAAATCAGTCAACACATAGACAATACGTTTCCAAACAAGTCTATTTCATACGAGCCTAAATCGATCAACTCCTCCCCTTTCGGTTCTAAGAGTTGATTAATTATCCTAGACGATTGTTAATCTACTAGTTCGTTGGATTTAAACACATCACACAAGAACAAATCATATTCAATTGGAAATCAATTGCAAATCGAAGTGTCACTCTTCGACAATAATCAAAATTCAATGTACGAGAATTGTAAACCCTAGTTAAGAACAACTCGCATAAATTGAATGATCAACAAGCATGATATTCACAATTAAATTCTAAACATCATCATCATCCCCTATCCCTAGTGAATGGATTTAGCTACTCATATAGAATTCAACACAATTCATCTCAAGAACCCAAACATTCATATTAAGGGATTAATTGAAAGGAAAACTTAAGATTAATATAGAACCAAGAGTCGAATACAATGAACAATCCAAATCCAAAGCAAGAAAAAGGAGTTTTTCAATCTCCAAATCTAATCAAAAGTGAAAAATCATGAAAAGGAATGAGTTTCTAGGGAGAAAAAGCCTAAAAACAAAGTCTGGAGTCGAATAATAAGCCCTAGGATCAAAATCCGATTTTAAAAACTCGCATCTCGAAATTTGCGCCGCTAAGTCGCAAGTCGCGACTTTCAATTTCCTCAGTTCGCGAGTCGCGACTGTCTCGCGAGTCGCGAGTCGTCAAGATATTCAATTTCTGGGGTTTGGTCGCGACATAACTCGCGAGTCGCAACTCGAGCTCGCGAACTGCACCTTCAGGCTCTGTTTTTCTCGCGAGTCGCGACTTTCATCTCACGAATCGCGACTTTCGTCTCACGAGTCGCGACTTTCGTCTCGCGAGTCGCGACTTTGGACTGCAGTCCGCAATTTTAGGTTTTGGGCTCGTTTGGGCTCGTCCGAACTCGGAATTAAGCTCCGTTTTTTGCTATACGTTGCCAACAAACCCCTCTATTCAACTATGCACTCAAAAAAAGCTTTTGCTGAAGAGAAAATTCGCCCGAAGCTCCCGACCTACACACCAAAAACGACAAAACACGAAGAAAACCGGGAAAACAAACAAAAAAACACCTAAAGACTCAAAATCAAGAAAAACACATAAGAAAATATGAAACGGACTAAAAACGAAAGAAACGACCTAAAACGGGTGAAAAATAAAAGCAAAACCAGCACGAAAAATGCAACAAAATTGGGACAAACAGCTCTTGTTGGCTTCCATGGCGATCCTAGTTTACAACTCGATAACGGGTGGTGGTCGGGCCTCCTCGAGCATACCTTAGGTCGTGACGCTATTCTGAAGAAGAACTTCACGCTGCTCGATGGTCTAGCTCCTCCTGTCTCCATGGTTCAAGCCATGTCTGAGTCCATCTGTCAACGACTGTTGTCGGACACGGCTGAATCGACCTCTGGCTCGAGACAACAAGTCGAGTAGCAGCCCGAGCCCACCTTTGAGCCAACTCCGTCTGATCCCAATGTTGATTCGGAGCAAACCACTCTCGATCCAAATGCGACTGCTCCTTGAGCATTTTGTAATTTTATTTTTATTATGAACTTGTAATTGTATTGTCAATATCCTTTGAATGAATGGATGTTTGTTATGTTCACCGATGTTTGTTGTGTTCTATTTATCATTCTGCTTTGTTTGTATGTTGCCGTATCGCCCTGTATACAGTCTTTCTTGTTCCTGAATCCATTCCACTTTAATCCTGTTGATCACGCTCTAATTTCTGACCTGGCTAACTGTCTTAATCGTGATAGATTTGACACCCTTGAACACATGTCCACCTTTAGAGCGGTGGTCGATACATGCGACCATCCAGCCTCGCGGCCTTAATCATGATGAATTTTATGTTAGATATGCTGTTAAAGCTTGGCTTTCAGATATGAACAATTCTATTTTGATCTGACAATCAAGTTTTAGTCAAAGTATATATATGTTTGCAGTTTATTTATTTATGCAATCATATTCCTTGTCTTACATTGTGACTCAATGTAAGACAAGGAGTATGATTAGTGTGGTTCGTGGTGTCTCGTACAGAAAGGTCACCTATCGGTTCCTTGTAAGAGTAAACCACTTGTTCATAGTCTAGACTGGCAGTGAGACCCCACTTGGAAAAAGACTGTAGTGTATTCTTGATTCAGTTGACCTTAACTGGAGAATTACACTAGTACTTATGTTAAGTATTGAACAGGACCACCAGAAGGATAAGATTATGAGACTCACTGATCGTTGTTGTAATCTATACCTTCAGTGATTGACGCGTTCTCTAAAGCTGTAAGATAATATAAAATAGTCGTGTACACTCATTACTTGTTTATTTGATTTACCAAGGGTGATTCCTAATTTGTTAGGATGACATACTCGGTACTTTGGTAAATGAGAATGTTTATATGACGAGCTATTATAAATTATTTATGGTCACCGTGTTCCAGTGCGCTGGATTGATGACGTCCCCGAAATAAGCTCAGGAATGAATATTGTGTTAAACCCTGCAGGTGGATATTTATCCGACATAATGATTAAAGTTCTGAGTGGTACTAATTTCGGAAATGAATAAGAAGTCGATTAATTATCTTGTGAGTAATTTAATTAATCCACGGACGTTATATCTTAAACATGGGGAGGTAAATCGGTCAATTAGATTTATATTTATTAATCAAGTGGAGGTTTAATTTAATTGATTAAATTGGAGCCAAATGGGGAGAACAATAATAATATTCTAGTGGGATATATTATTATTTAATTTTACTAGAATTTTAGGAATTAATTTTATTCCATATTTATTATTTCATGAGATAGGGAATATTCCTTCGAGAATATTACCTAGGGTTAGGAGACTAGAGAGTCTTCTAGAAGGTGATGTTAGGAGAAAGGAATGGTGGCCTTGTATGGATTAGTTTATGGAGTAGAATTAGGATTCCTTGGCCTAATGGGATAATCCCATATTTGGCACCTCCTTAAGGTCCCTAATGGAGCCTATAAATACACCATGTCCCAACCTCTTGTACATGCATTGCTAGGGCTGATTTTTCTTATTTCACAAGAGAGGAAAAATTGTCTTGATCGATAGTTAGGGAGATTCAATTAATTGCACCACCAAGATTAATTGAAATAAGTGTTTAGGTAATCTATTAGAAGGCTTTAAGGTGATATTTCATTAAACCTCAAAGCTCCGGAAAAAGGTGATATTTCATTAAACTTCAAAGCACCATATTTTCCGGTCATCTTCTCCAGGCAGTCGCTGCCGTCCGCCGCCATCGATCTCGCCGGAAAACTGCTGTCGCCGCCAAGACCTCGCCCGAGCCCAGCCGCGCACTATTGCGAGCACAGCCCGTAACCGCGCACAATCGAACATCATGCCTAGGTCTCAGCCGCGAAGCCCCGCGCCTCCTGCCTGTTCGTGTTTCGTCATCACTGTTCTTGTCTGCCATCATTGTGTGTGATCTGCTCGACCCGCCCGAGATCCACGCGCACGTCGTTCCGCGCACACCCAGGAAACCCGAGACGACCACCCGCGTGTGTCCAGTCGCAAGACCCTGTCCGCGTCAACCTAGGACTCTAGTCCAGCACGCGCGCGCGCCCCACGGCCTGCTGCAACCCGCGCGCCACACCTGACGCGACAAGCCAGCGACATGCACCACACGGCCAGACTGCGACCCGCGCCTGTCCGTGACTCGCACCTGTCCGCAACCCGACCCGCTGCGACCCGACTCGACCCGAGACTAATCCGAACCTGCCCAACTGGCCCGAGCCCGAGAAGTTCGTTCCGGTGATCCGTTCGTGATTCAACACTCAACTAGAGTCGACAAAGGCCAAACTCTTCAACCGATTGAGTTGTGGTAATCAGACAATCTCCATCAAAGGAAATCAGAAACGTCTCTGAGTCGGCAAAAACTTTAGAAGGTAATGTCGTAATCCTAACTATAGATTCCGCTGCGTTAGGTTTTATTTCGATAAGTTCAATACTTGCATGTCGTTGACGTTCCTCATAGAACCCAACAACTGGTATTAGAGCCCAGATTAATTCAACTTTATGCATATTTTGAATTTGGACTTGTCTGTTTACGTGAATTATGTGTGTACGGACGCAGCAACATAGTAGATTAGAAATTGCAATTGTTTTCAGGTGATTTCGAATTCGACAATTATGGCCTGTATGTATGATTTTAATTCATGTATGAATGTATGGTGTTTTATAAGCTTCGGACATGTCGAGGAGTTTTTGGGTTGGTGAATGCTTGTAATAAATAATTCGCGCAGTGGGACACTGCATAGTTTATTACTTTCATAGAAAACTTGTGTACGACTTCTGCGCGGGTCATAGGATGAATTATGTAATTGTTCTTATTCATTATTGATCCGGCGGATGTGGACCAAACTCGATAAGGCGAGGTGACAAACATATAGACGGATGCGATGGTGATGATCCAATGGCTACTTTCCCAGAGACAACGTATTCAAGATGAAGAGTGGGAGTCACTGCGAAAGGGGTGTTCCAATTCCTAAGACGGAAAACACATTCAAGCAAAGGACAGGATTGTGTTTCTCCATATCATTGGAGATTAATTAATGGCCATAGTAGTTGGATTATAGTTCTTAGTTTATTTTTGCTCATTGATTATGCATGTCCTTATTTGCTTTATGTGCAAATTGAAATAGGAGCATGTCTAGGAAAATTCCTTAAAATAAAATTATATTAAGTGTGTAATGGGTTGAAACAAATTACATCCAAGGCCTCCATTATAGGTTTGTTAGTGAAGTGCTTTGAATCGATCCCAAAGGACGGTTTATTTCACAGTTCACAGGAACGAATCTCCTTTGGGAAGGTTATAGTGAGCTATTTCAAAAGCGTACGGGTTATCCAAAGGTGGACGTATAATTTTGGTAGTAAACTTAGCACCAATTAATGGGTTACACTTAAAGCGCTAATAATTATGATATTCCCAATTGAAAAGGTTGTTCTTATTTTGCGTTGGCCAAAAGATGAACCGACTATTAATTAAGTATTGTTTGGACGGTATGTTAATTAATGGGATTAATACCTCCTCTTACAATGGCTTGAACTGTAGATGTCCACACTCTGTGATCTGCGGGTATTCGGTGTTTTGAGGTGTCGGCGAATTTATTTAAATATTGTTTTTTAAGGGATCAATATTTGATGATAAATGCAAAAATACTTGACTGAGTAAAAACTATGTTTGCATGATCCCAGGAATTCAAAATGTCTTTCAATCCGTTGTCCGTAATTCTCAAAGAAAACAAACTTGTTGGTCCCAATTACATTGACTGGAAAAGGAATTTGGATATAGTGTTAACTGCTGAAGGGTACCAATTTGCTACTGTTGAGGCTTGTCCGGATGTGCCTGCTGATGATGCACCAGACCAAGAGAAAGAGGCGTATGCTCAGTGGAAAAAGGCTGACGAGATGGTGAAGTGTTACATCTTCGCATCTTTATCAAATGTACTTCAACATCAACATCAGTCTATGGACACTGCAACAGAGATGCTTCTTACTCTCAAGGAGTTATTTGGTCATCAGTTGCGGGCTGCCTGACAAGAAGCCATGAGGGTTTTGATGAATATGACCATGCGTGAGGGCACTCCCGTGAGGGAACATGTTCTTGCTATGATGGCCCAGCTGAATGAGCTAGAGGTCCTTGGGGCTTTTATCGATGGGGAAACCCAGGTCGATATAGTGCTCCAGTCTTTGCCGAAGAGCTTCGAACAATTTCAGTTGAATTATAACATGCATATGATGTTGATGACTCTTCTGGAACTTGTTGCTGAGCTTCAGTCGGCAGAGGGCCTGTTTCGTCACAAAGCCCAGACGATGGTTGACATGCGGGGTGAAGGTTCTTCCTCCAGGCCTTCTAAGGGTAGGAAGAGGAAAAAGTCCACAGGAAAGGGAAAAGCGGTCATGAATGATGTGCGACCTCAGTAAGCTGCGAAGAAGCCGAAGGGCAAGTGCCACAAATGCCAGCAGAAGGGACACTGAAAGGCCGACTGCCCTCTCCTCAAGAAGGGCAATAAAGTTACATCTTTTTCATTAGTCGTTGAAACATGTTTAGCGGTGTTATCTACCAGTACCTGGTGTGTAGATATAGGACCCACTAATCATGTCTGCAATTCCAGGAAACCAAACGGCTTAGGGAAGGAGAAGTCACCATCTACTTGGGCGATGCTAATAGAGCGTCAGCAGTTGCAGTGGGAGATGTTTATTTAGATTTTGGTTTATATGGAACTTTGGCTTTGAAGGATTGTCTTTATGTTCCTAATTTTCAAAAGAATTTGGTTTCAGTTTCTAAGTTATTTATGAATGGTTTTTCTGCTATTTTTTATAATGAAGTTGTTTTTCGTTTTGGCAAAAAGTTCATATGTCGTGGTTCATTAGTAGACAATCTATATATTCTAAAACCAAAGTTATCTCCACTGTAACATAAACAATTACTTAATTCATCATCTAATATGAATAAAAGAAAGGAACCTTCGAAAATGAATGAAACATATCTTTGGCATCTAAC